CTAGAGAGAGGTTCTAGAGAGAGAGAGAGAGTAAAGAGAAGAAAGAATGGGAAAGGTGTGAAGAAAATGAGGGTGGGAGAGGTGGTATTTATAGGGTGAAATGTGGCTGAACTTGGTGCCACATGTCACCATCTGGTGGCAAGCCTTGGGGAGAAAGCAATGGCCAAGATTGTGCCACATCACCCATTTTCGCACAGCACACTTCCGACTTCTAAAATCCGTAACTTTCACATACGACCTCCGTTTTTGACGTTCTTTATATCCACGCGTAGGTAATAATAAGATCTACAACTTTCATTTTGACACCGTCAGCTAATTCTCGACCGATCTTAAATTTAACAGTACAAGGAGATTATACTGTTAAACGTCTGCGTAAAATTAATAACTTCTACATACGGACTCTGTTTTTGTCTGTCTTTTTACCGTTGATTTCCTATTAATGAGATCTTCAACTCTCATTTATGTTGCGTAAGCCAAAAACCGCTCGAACTAAAATTCGAGTTTCAGGCCGTGCACTGCTAAGCCGAATCTTAGAAAAATCATAACTTCTTCATACGAAGTCAGATTTGGGCGTTCTTTTTATCGATGTTCTTAGTTTAACATATTCTACGACTTTTGTTTAGATTGCTAAGGCTAAAAAGTCTTCTATCGTAAATTCACTATTTACGTTTCCCGGTGTCGTGCCGGTTTTGTCGTAAAACTTCGGCGGGCCATAACTTCTTCTTTATAGCTCGGATTTCGGCATTCTTTATATGCACGGAAACCTTGAGACATATTCTACAACTTTATGTAGAGATATCGGGATTATCTCACACTTTAATTTTGACGCTCATTTTTATTCTTTATTAATTATACATTTATAATTAAATAATAAACACATAAACACACATAATTCACATAATACTCAAATATTTCATATTTATTACTTCAAAAAGAGTTACAATAGTTGACCTAGACTATTACATTGACAAAAATGCTTAGCCCTGAAAACCCGGGCGTTATATATATATATATATATATATATATATATATATATATATATATATATATATATATATATATATATATATATATATATATATATATAAGTTTTTTTTTTTGATAACTTAAAGATTTCTGATATCTTGAGAACTCCTAATCTGCATATCATTTTTTTAAAACCAACAACACCTTTGGACTCCTTGACCAACGACCAAGATAGATCCATGGATCAAAAACATATTTGATGATTTTGTTTTCTAAAATGTGTATATATACACATCTAAATATGCATGCATGCATATTTTTGTTTTGAGTGTTTTTTTTTAGTTTTTAAATTGCTATTCCCTTAAACACATATATTTTAGAATCCCATTAATTGTTGTTTCATATATATATATATATATATATATATATATATATATATATATATATATATATATATATATATATATATATATATATATATATGTGTGTGTGTGTGTGTGTGCGCGCGCGCGCGCGCATACATACACATTTCCAAAAAAATCATCAATTTTTTGGAGTCGAGATATGGCTTAGTCGCTTCTTTTTTTAAAAGGGAATGATGGTATTGGTTTTTAAAAATGATGAGCCGTTTAGAAGTTGTAAAGTTCTCGCAAATCATTAAGTTCTTAGTAGGTTCAAATGTGGATGAACAAATATTGTGTGGATGTAAGGATTAATATGAGCCAAATATTATTTAATTTTAATAAATATTTAATTAAATCATCAAACTTTTAATTTAGGCAAATTACTCTATTTAAAACCCTATCAAACCTTTGGCCATATCCCTCTCGCTTCCATCGACTGAACACATCAGAGCTTCGTCCGTATTATTTGAAACCATCCATCCTATCACCAACGATCTAAATCAGTTTTGACCAATACAATAATAAGTTCATTAGGTTCACTACAAGAGGTAATATGGTCGGTATGTTCTAGCAGACACTTGGATTTCGACTCCAATTCTTATGAGGAAGAGTACGACTTCAACGATAAGGATAACGTCACCCATAACAAGAACAGTTATGCCGCTATCCTTACCGCCACCAAGCTTGTGCCTCCATCTACCGATGAAGTTGATACAATGAAATAGATGAAGCTCTGGTTTATTAAGCACGTCCTTTGGATTTTTAAAGCAAGTGTATGTCTCATGTATGTGGATTCTTCCTTTCTGTTATTGTATGCATCTGTTAAAATGCGAAAAATTTTAAGTGCTACTATAGTTCGATTTGCTTATTCTTACGCGATATGTGTTAATTTAAGATTGCTATGCTTTATTATAATCAATGTTACATATGGTGTCTCTAGGATTGTACAGCTAAATCCCAAATTTTTCTATGTTTGATTAGTTAGAGTTGTTATAAATTGATATTGATCACTGGGATATTTCTAATTACCCTCTATAGTTTATTTACTCTGGTTTTGTTCAATCATTTAAGATTTATTGAATGCTAATGTGTAGGGGATCACACTTATGTTCTTCAAGATTTTCTTTTTCTTGCAACTTTGTTTACTAAATATAGGTAGATCACTGTGTTGCACACCACCTGTTTGTGATTTTCTTTTAGGCTTTTTTTCATATGCGTTTTGATTGTAATATCTTTAAATAGTTTCTTATTGTCTTATTCACCATTGTTATTGTAGGCTCTTATAAAGAAAATTGGTTCACCTTACAAAAGCAGCATCATTCTTTCAAAATATCAAGGTTCATTTTACAAAAGCAACATCATTCTTTCGGAATAGAATGGTCCACCTTACAAAAACAACAACATTTTTTCAGAATAAAATGGTCCACCTTACAAATACAACACCATTCTTTCTTCAAGGAGAAATCTGGCAGAATGCATCCTTAAATTTTATATCAGTTTTTGTACCTTCAAAAATTGCATATATCTTTTTCTTAAGAATGGGTGACGTTAGTTAGAGAATGAATTAAATTTAGTTTTATTCTTTAATAATATATTTATATTTTTCATGTTTATTTTAAGTCATTAAAAAACGTGTATTGTTGTTTGTCATAATGAATGTTGTTATTCTTCAACTCATAGTTTAAAATTTTGTTATTCTTCAAAATGTTCATTCAATCAGAATATGTATTCTGTGAGAATTTGTATTCAATTAGAATATGTATTTTGAACTCTTGATTCACATCATTCATACATCTACACAATACTTATCACCCGCATTATAACATATATATATATATATATATATATATATATATATATATATATATATATAGGTTTATGCGAAAACATCAATTATTTGCGAAAATACGAAAACATATTTTATCTTATAAAAATCAAACACATGTATTTTAAAAAGTAAGTTTCTTAGCAATAGATTAAAGATAATATGTTTATATGGGTTATGGTAATATAGATTTAAATGTGGTTTTAACAACCATTTTTTTTCACATCCTTAACCACTTTTAAATTAAACTTTTCATAATAGAAAAGTAAAAAAATATTTTATTAATGCGAAACAATTTCTTATGTATCATCGATTATCATCATGTAGTTTAAAATGTGGATGTATTTTTGTCCAAAATATAAGGTTGAATTGACACAATCTTATAGGTTTTCTTTGTTTTCGTGTTTTCGCAATTTATTTGCATTTTCTTATGAGCCCTCTCATATATAATGCGAAAATACAAATAATTTGTGAAAACACAAAAACGGAGAAAACATATAAGATTGTTTTAATTCAACATTATATTTTGGATAAAAATCCATCCAAATTTTGAACTACTTAATGATAATCGATGATACATAAGAAATTATTTCATATTAGTAAATCATTTTTTTGACTTTTCTATTATTAAAATTTTAATTTAAAAATGGTTAAGGATATGAAAAAAAAAAAAACGGTTGTTAAAACCACATTTAAATCTATATTACCATAAGAGCCTCCCATGTAAACTTATTATCTTTAATCTATTGATAAGAAATTTAATTTCTAAAATGTATGTGTTTGATTTTAGTAAGATAAAATATGTTTTCATATTTTCACAAATTATTTATGTTTTCGAATGAACCTTACTTGTGTGTGTGTATATATATATATATATATATATATATATATATATATATATATATATATATATATATATATATATATATATATATATATATATATATATATATATATATATATATATATATATATACACCAAAATTTACAGCTATTTTAACTTAACGTATTAATATCATGCAAACCATAGATGATTGATGAAAAGTGTATAGGGTACTCCTTTATTGGATGAGCAGCTTCGTGTATACAAAATTAAAATATATAGGAATTAAGTGGTGTGGGGTTTTCGAGTTAGTTGATAATCAATGAAATGGTTAAGTTAAGGATGTTTCTTGTTGAAGGGTCATATGTTTTTGGTTTTTCTTAATCGTTAAATTGTAATCTTTAACTTACTTTTCTTTTTATATATAATATAGATGAGTAACACTCAAGCTTCATAAAAATCCAAAAATCCAATCACCTTATGACATCTTTGAAGGCAGCTTATTGTTAAATTTCGAACTTACGTGGTTCTTGTTAAGCATTTCTTTTCTTAATTTATTTTATTTTATGTTATAACATTTCGTATTTTTTCCAAATATATATACTCACAAACAAATTAACCCCTAGTTCGATAAAGAAAATATGAGTTTGATCAATTTGATATAACATTACATGCATTCATATGTGACACCGTTAGAAGACGCATGTAGGGCCACTAAAATGTACTGATTCAAATATTTGACGTACACTTCATCAAAAACAAACACTTATAACATATATTTGGAGAACCTCCTGGTCATCTTTTGTAGATAACTAATAATATTTTACTATTTTTTGCGAGAATAAAAAATCATTCTGGAAGGCCAAAAGAAGTTTATCTTTAATTAATTATTAAAAGTCGACAAGTATCCATCTTGACAATTTATATAATATATAGTAAGATACATTAGCTATTTTTATGAAGGAGATTATTTGGGAGCTAAATGGGTCATCACTGCTGCAGCAAACAGAAAGTTAAGAGAGGGTTATGGTCTCCTGAAGAAGATGAAAAGCTCATCAAACACATCACCTCCCATGGCCATGGCTGCTGGAGTTCTGTCCCTAAACTCGCAGGCATATAATCATCTTTCTATCGATCTTACAAACTTTTACATTCATGCAGTTTAATTGTATACCCATCCAGGGTTTAAGGATTCATGTTGTTTCTTGACTCATGTTCTTAGGGTTTAATGGTGGTGTTTTTTGCATTTATGATTGAATTAAATTTACAGGGCTACAGAGATGCGGAAAGAGTTGCAGATTGAGGTGGATAAACTACTTGAGACCCGATCTGAGAAGAGGTTCATTCACTGAACAAGAAGAGCGAACGATCATTGATGTTCATAGGATACTGGGGAACAGGTGGGCTCAGATAGCGAAACATCTACCAGGTAGAACAGATAATGAAGTCAAAAACTTTTGGAATTCTTGCATCAAGAAGAAACTTATTGCTCAGGGTTTGGATCCAAACACTCATAACCTTCTTTCTGCTCATCAGATCCCCATTAATCTTAATGCTAACAACACTAAACATAGCGATCCTACAAAGCCACTTTTCTCCATTATCAACAATACCTCATCACAAACAAAAGATTCAAAAAGGTTCAATCCTCTTAAACCTCATTTGTCCATAGACACTACTGATCCTGTAATGAGTCAAAACTTGTACGAAAACACATTAACCCACCAAAGCTCCAACCTTAATTACCAAAACTACAACAACAATGTTAGCCATGATCAATCGACAATGGGGTTTTCAAGCCAACAGTTAGTTGAAAGTACTAAAACGCCCATCTTGTTGCCTCTTCCTTCTTCCTTAAATCCACTTGATTTTGGGAATATGGGTCAACCATGGTGTGGTAACAGTAATCTTGGAGTAGCCTTTGAGAACACAAGAACACAAGAAGAGTTTCAAGAAATGATGGTGAGTCAAGGTGGTATGACTCAGGAGTTTGTGAACAAGGGTTTGGATTTGAGGAATAATTGTGAAGTCCAGAATCAAACCAATATAGATATGACTTCTTTTGATGGGTGTAACATTGACTTAGAGTTCATGGAAGCTGCACTTATTCCTTGTGGAATGTACTCTAATGGCGGATCTTTGGATCATCTTGCATGGGACTGTAACTAGCTAGCTAGCTCAAGTATTTGTTTAATTTTTTTTTTTTACTCACTTTTTAGAGTCTTAATGCGTTCTTGTTTATAGATTGCTTTTACACCTACGGATTCCAAAAACATTTTAGTCACGTCGCTTCATCCTAGGAAGGGAACAAAGATATCTCCAATCACAAGTGGATTTTAATTGTAGTTGACTCAGTTATTCTACTTTAGTGGATACCGTAGGGCTAAAATTGTCCTTTTTGTTTAACTACACCTTTCCTCATGTAGAGTGGGACTTATTGAAGATTGGATTTCGAATGAAGATCAATGATATATACACACTTTTATGTACTCAAAGTCCCACCACGACTTAATTTCCTTGATAACAAATCGCTTTCAAGCTAACGAAACGTTACAAACCAAGTCCAAGATCGGTTCTCATGTAGACATAAACATGCAACTAGTTGAAGGGAATTAGAATATGGATTAGAAATACTTGCTTGTTGGATAATTAGAATTTGTTTGATTAGTTGAAGCATCATTTTCGAAGCATGATTAGGAATATATAGCAACCGACTTCTAATTAGAAAAAGATTGATTGATGATCTTAAATGCATGTATAGTTGTATGTTCTAAGACTTGGTGTCTATGTGGATTTGATTGGAGGAAAAAATGACATCAAGAAACATGAAATGGATAAGATCAACTGTTCTCACTCATAGTAAACTGTGAGGTGTTAGAAGTGCCTATAAAGATTCTACATGGCTAATTTAATAATTGAACTTAAATTCTCGATCAGAAAGTAATATCATCACACCCACAAGAAACTGGGTGTATTTGTAAGTATTTTACTAATTTAGTTAATCTCATGGGCGAAAAAAAGTTAGCGGACCATATACATCATTAGTTAGGCCCAAGAAAAGAGCCCAAGGGCATAACTCCATATGTGGAAACTAGAGGTGCAAAAAAATATGCCAAACAACCTGCATACAATAAATCTACTTTAATAACTAAGGTTTATTTTTTTACCAATTGTTATACTTTCATTTAATTTATTACATGTAATTTTATGGTAATTTTAAATTAATTTTTATTCTACTTGTTATTTTAATGGTTTTTTTATTTTATTAAATATCAAATATTATTTAAATCTAATAATAAATGCATATCAATTTCATTAATGAATTTTCCTTCTAATTTCAAAATTACTAAATTAAAGTTTCATTAATTTTCTTTATTTATTTATTTAAATTATTTGTTTAAATTTAAAAGAGAAAAAAAAAACACTTTAATTTTTATAATTTAATATTTTTCTCAATTTTCTTATAAATTCAAAATTTTCAAATATTTTAGATTTTATATTAATTTTTTTAAATATATTAATTTCTCACCTAGTATATATAGTTTTCACTTTTATCAACCATTTAACCAAGCCATGAGTATATATGGTAAAGTTTATAACCATTGGAATTTGGAACCCATCCGTTTCGAGAAAACCCTTGTAAAAACGGTTTACAAATTTGATGTGACCTATGAAAAACTTTTTTTTTCTAATGGGAATATAATTCCAATGACCGGTTTAATGGCCAAAATAAAGGGTTGGCTAAAAAGACACCTCAATTTTCCATTTAGACACCCTATTTGATTTTTAAGGTTTTTTTATTGGTTAAATTTGCATTGTTTTTTGAAAAAGTAAAATATAAATAGTTTATTATAGGTTAATTTTTAATAAAAGTATTTATAGGGTGTCTAAAGGGTGTCAATTTAGCAACACCCCCTAATAACCCTTTAACCTCTCTATGGTTGGTATAAATAGGCAACCGTATTAAAGTTTCAATATTTTCATCAATTTCAGAAGAAAAGTTTTAAACTTTATTCATTTGAAAGTAAAATCTTAATTAATGATAGTTTTTAATACGTTTACCCTTTTTATACGGTTTACTAATAAGGACTTTATTGTTAAAAAAAATAAACTTTAGAATATTCTTGTCAAATCATGAATAAGGATTTACTCTCAAAAAAATAAAGTTTAGAATTTTTTGTTAAATCGTTGAAAATATTAGGACTTTAGTGTATATATCCTTTTTTTGTTAAAATTTAATAATATGATAGTATTTCAGCATAAGAGTTGTTGAAACCTGCTTTGGTCAACTAAATCATATTGAAATCGTTAACGTTTGCTTATCGTTAAATATTTTTTTAAATCAACAAACCGACAATGAAAAAAATTGAGATAATCAATAAAGGAAGAAAGAACCAGAGTTGTGTTGGCTTTTTGGACTCTTAAAAATGAAGAACTAAGAAACTAAAAAACAAAATTGCACTTCTTATCCATTCTCCACATTCACACCCTTTTGATTAGGAATGTGCTTTTATGTTTATACACTCTATCCCCACTTATCGGTTCAAGATTTGGCGGTAAAACAAGAAAAAAAATTTACAGGTTTTCTCACCCTCTCTTGCTCTTTCTTTTGCATCTATTTCCTCTGATCGTTATTGTATTAGGGTAACGATGATGGTGGTAAGAAAAACAGTATTGTTGCGATGAAAACCACAATTAAAAGTTTTTAGGCTACGGAAATAAACTAACGTTTCAATATTTTCAATGATTTGACACGAAAGTCCTAAACTTTATTTTTATGATAATAAAGTCCTAATTCACAATATGACAAGAAAATTTTTAACTTTATTTATTTATTTATTTATTTTTTACAGTAAAATATTAATTACCGACTAAGGAAAAAATGGGTAAGTGTGTCAAAAACTGTCGGTACATAATATTTTACTAAAAAAAATAAACTTAGGACTTTCTTATCCCAATTTTATATTTCACAATCTAGTTTTTTTTTTTTTTTTTTTTTTTTTTTTTTTTTTTGCATTTTAAGGAATGATATCCGCTTCTGGAAATTTGCAATCTGCCATTGTTATGGGAGCTTTGTCAGCCGACATATTGGTTGTCAAAGTAGTATTAACAGAACCGAACCCGATGATTTGGTAACATTTGGATTTTTGTGAAATGTTAGAGGGCTAAAAGAAAATACGATCCAAGAGCTGTGGTAAATTATTTAAGGAAAAGGAAAATATCATATTAAAATTTCATCATGCAAGGTGGTAGATAAAGATATGAAAATTTTGAAAATGCAATTCATTTAGGAAGCGATGTACATTGTTCACCGAAATTATACCTTATCGTTGTGGCTCATTAGCTAAGTAATAAAATTGGCAAATAAAGAAAGTTGTTTGTTCAAAACTGTCCATACCATGGACGGTTTGAGAATTGTTTTCGGTAACGCTTGTGTTTCTGGGTTAGGTATTAATGTTGATTTAATAGTTTAGGTTAACCTTTGTAACCTTTTTTGACATAATAATAAAAATGTATTATTTGAGTATTATGTGTTTTATGCTTTATTGTGTGACTTAAATGAATTTAGGATAAAAAAATAAGTGATAAAATAAAATGTTAGATAAACCCAATAGCTATGAAGGAAGTTGTAGTGGTCGTGACAAAGTTTCCGAATATATAAAGAATGTCGAAAACAAACTCTATGATTTTCGTTTATATCACTAAGGCTAAATATCGCTCTATCGTAAATTCATTATTTACGTCACGCATTGGCGCATCGGTTCGATCGCGAAACTTCGACTGGTCATAACTTCTTCATTATAACTCGGATTTCAACATTCTTTCCATATTCGAAAACCTTGTCACGACCACTACAACTTCTTTCATATCTATTGGGTTTATCTAACATTTATTTTATTGCTTATTTTTATCCTTAATTCATTTAAGTCACACAATTAAGCATAAAACACATAATACTCAAATAATACATTTTTATTATTATTTCAAAACGGGTTACAAAGGTTAACCTAAACTATTATATCAACATTAATGTCTAGCCCAGAAACACATGCATTACAGCGTACACAGGGCGTATGCAACCTGCTTTGGACTTTGACTTTCTTTGACTTCCATTGACCATTGACTTTTTGGCTAAGTTTAACTTTGGGCTAAACTTGAGGGTTTTGGACTGTTGATTAAGATTGTACTAGGTTTTGGTGTTACAGGATTCGTGGGAACAAGAAGTCCAGAATGGGGAACGTATCACAGTGATTCTAGGTTCTATTAGGCAGTAGTGAGTTGTATGATTGGTATTTGCATCTATTATATGCATACTTGACCCTTGATTGTTTATATGTCAATATATGGTGGTGGGTTAGGTTGAGGCGGTACTACTATGTGTTTTATGCCAAGATATCGTGTGCGATCTGGTTGTAATTGGTAGGCATGGAGGCTCAGGAAAAGCTGTTAGGTTAAGGCAGCAGACCAACACACCCAGGGTAATCCTATCCGATGATTGTGGAATTGCTATGCATTCTAGTATAGTTGCTGTATGGGGTATTTTGGGGGAAACTCACTAAGCTTTTATTCTTACCCAGTGGTTAAATTTTTTTAGGTATCATCGGTTCATGGGAAGGCAAAGGTGTCACTATTCACACTCATCAGTAGCTTTGAGGATTCTGCATTTTTATATTACTCTGATTGACAATAAATAAAACTTGGAATAAATGGTTTTCGAAACATATATTTTAAAATGAGCAGTTTTACCTTAATTAAATATGAAAAATTTTAATGTGAAAATGAGATGTTACGTGGTGCATTACATGGACGTTACATGGTGCGTTATTTAAAAAATATAGTATATGTCTTAAGGCTTAAGAACTATATATATATATATATATATATATATATATATATATATATATATATATATATATATATATATATATATATATATATATATACAAGTGAAGGCTAATATCTATGGTATTTTATTCTTGCTTTGGTGGAAAACTTATAGAGGGTTTATTCTTGGAGTTTTAATACCATCTTCATCAACTTCCTAGTTTCCAAAAGGAACCTAAGTTTTCAAAGGTCATAAACTTCTTCTTTCGTTTGGTTATGTTTTATTGTTTCTAGGCTTTGCAAAATTATCATGGGTAGGCAAAATTGTTTTAGTTTATTCAAAT